CCAGATTCTTCTCTGTCGGGACGTAGACGCGGACCATTCGCCATCGAGTCGGTTCTCATCTTTAACACAGGGGAGATGAGTGAGTGTGCTTTAGGAATACACGAACGGGGGAAAAAGGTTACAAAAGGCGACCATGACTCGAGCCTGATTTGAACAGACGTCTTCTGCTAGCAAATTAACCCCATCCTCAATGAGTGCAGAGGTGGAGCATCCGCCATCGAGCCGGTTGTTGGTGCTAGGAACACGGAGATGAGTGAGTGTGTTCTAATGTTACAGGAATGGAATACCTCCGCTGGGGAAAAAAACAGCCACATGGCGAGAACCATGACTCGAGCCCGATTCGAACAGACGTCTTCTGCAGTTCCAATAGGCTATGGGCACGAAGCGCTGGCGCGGACCATCCGCCACCGAGTCGGTTCTAGGCCTGAACGCAGGGGATGAATGAGCTTTTAGAACTTTAGGAGTATAATGGCGAGCACGCACGGGAGTAAAAAGGTGCGCCGCAACTGTGGCTCGAGTCTGATTCGAACAGGCGCCTTCTGCCCAAGCTCTCGTGAAATTCTTCTTTACGCGGCAGACACGGACCACCCGCCACCAGTCGTTCTATTATTGAACCCAAGGTACATGAGTGGGCGTGTGAATTGAATGAAAGGTAATACACCCACGGAGCAAAAAAAGTCTCGAACAGCATAACCAATGACTCGAGCCTGAATCGAACAGGTTTCTTCTGCAGCATGTATGATACCACCGTAATCTTCCACACTAAGCAGATACGGACCATCCGGCATCGAGTCGGTTCTTGGTACTAAGAGAAAACTCTGTGCTAAGAGGACCCCGATATGCCGCATAACAGTCGTTGTGCGGAGTAGGATGATGGAGCACGCTGAGGACGGAGCAAGCGAAACCACAGAACTGGGGCAGACGCAGCGGGCGAGCGAAAACCAAGACCAAGAATTTCGCCTTCTCCCTATTGCCCAGATTCATTCCGAGTCGCAGACCAACGAGCCCGAGGAAAACACGCCCCCAGAGAAAACGAGGACGCGGCAACTGGTAAACCGCCCTGCACGCGCGGGCCGCGCGGGCAACACAACCAGCACAGCAGACAAGAATAGCCAGGAATTCTAACACCAAGCAAAATGAGTAGAGGGCGAAGGTGAGACGGATGAATCAATAGTATTCCGGGTTGTATACAAGAGGTTGAACTCAGAGTTCCAACTCTAGGCTCGATTGCGGTCTGCCACCGTCAAATAGATGGACGCCTGCCCCGCCCCACATAAAAGGGGGCTTTTATCCACCGAGTGAGGAGATATGCGGTGGCGGGGCGCGGCCGGTGGCGGGGTTCGGGCGCTTGGGGCAGTCTTTCAGGGTGTGGTCCTGCGGAAGCGCGAGTCAGTTATCAGGCGCACAAGGAGGATCAGGAAATTGAAGGAGTGGGAAACGGGGGAGAAGAGAAAAAGACGCAGACGCACCGACTGCCCGCAGTGGAAGCACTTCGCTGGCTGGGGGCACTCCTTGACCCCGTGGCCCTCCTCCCCGCAGCGGAACTGTATAACAGGACGAGAGGGGAGGGAAAATGTAAACAAGGACGATGGACGAAGGTAAACGGGAGACATACCACTTGCGGGGCGCGGTCTTGAGTGCCTCGACGCGTTCGGGGTCGGGATTCGGGCAATCACGACCCTGGGAGGCGGGTTAATTTAAAGGTGACGGCATGGATGATGGTGAGAGTGAGAGGGAGAAGGAAGGCGCACCGTGTGCCCTTCACCACCGCAGGAACGGCAGATCATCGGCTCCTTGCACCACTTGGTAACATGCCCCTCGCGGGAGCCTGTATTCCATGGACTCGGTCAATACTCTGTGATATCAATATCGTTAATGGGCGTACAGTTCATGCTGAAAAAGATGGGGGTCCGAGTCACTGGTAGCGAGGACGGGAATAATCGACGACCGACCAGACTACGCGGTAGAGCGCGGGGGGAGTGGAGGAGAAAGAGCGGAGGGGAGTTAACAAGGCGGCGAATGATGTCCTCGAGACGCGGCAGGGAAAGCGGAAGACTGGCAAGGCGCGGAGGCGCAGGAGTGAGAGCATGGTGGTGTGAAAAGAGAGGGTCACGTCACAGTCACCTCTCAAACGCGATCACGTGGGCTCATCGCGCGCTCTTATTTGCGTCCAACTCGGACTGAGTGATTCTGAGGCAGACTTTTAGCACCAAGAAGACGCACAGCACCTACGTCAACTACTTCACAACTACCCCCCATCTGCGGAACGGCGTCTTATGCACTCGGTGTAAATTACAGCAAGCATTCACTCCGAGGGGTGCAAGGTTCGTCATTTTCGTATTCCGCCTCAACCGCCACATCCGCTTGTTTATATGCCTAAAGGCTACCTTATTTATATGCGGGGTATTGCGCTTTTATTCCCCACTTATTGCGGGGCAGGTAAATTGAATTTCGGCGTTAAACAACTAACAGTCGATGAATCCATTATCCAACCATCTGGACAATATGAAGACGATATAACTTCTTAAACTCAAAAGCGACGGATTATTCGACATATGACAGCGGAACGGACGCCACCTTCAGCATTTGGAACCAATAAATTGCATGTTGCCAAATCAGGATTATGAATCTCGTGCTCCTGGCTACTGATAATTTGGTCTGCATCCGCTACCTTGCTGGAATTTACTCACTAGGGGGCTATATTGGGCTTGGCTTTTCCTTCCGGGTGTCATTCGCGTAGAAAATTGCAATCCCTCTGCGCACCTTCATTTCACCTCAAGGAGGCTACTCCGAAATCCTTTAAAAAGGCTCTACGTCCTTCGCTGAGAACATCGTCCAAGTCCGCAATGCGTTTCACCTTCTCCACCACTTCTGCCCTCGTCCTCGTCGCGGTGCTCTGTTCCGGCGCTGCGGCCCAAGAATACGGCCGCCACGATGGGTCGTCTGTGCGGAAGGCAAATACATTCTTTTACATCCCTTCTATTCTCTTCATGGATTCTAACTCGTTTGTTTTACCAGCATCACCACAATGACGACTGCGTCCCCTTCTTCTTCGACAAATCGTGCATCAGGGGCCGATGCAACGAGATCCGCCGGTGCGAGCTAGGATTTGATTTCGACGAATTCCGGGTGTGCTGCGTGCATTCCAAGTGGCGCCACTACCGCCGCGACGCTGAGGCCGGTGACGGGGGCAACGGGGGCGCAGGTGGAAACAGCGAAGGAGGTGGCAGGGCCGGAAACGGCGGGAACGGCGGCCCTGGTGGAGATGTCGACGGGGATTCACGGGGTGCTTGCATATGTTGCAGCAGATAGTTTCTGTGAAACTAATTATGATTTTACAGGCCGTGGCGACGGAAACCACCGCGGCGACGGGTCAGAGACCGCGGGAAAAGGTGGAAATGGCGGTCGGGGCGGCAACAGCGAAGGGGGTGGTAGGGCTGGCAATGGAGGAAATGGCGGGGCCGGTGGGAATGTGAACCAACATGGTGGGGAAGAAACGGGTGAACGGATATATATCCAGGGTATTGGGGGGAAGCTGATTCAAACTCTGCAGGCCACCGAGACGGAAATGACCGTGGCGCCCGCGAACACCGTGGCGGGAATAATAGAGGTACTCGCGCATTTCCAGTTAATTTTTGCATGCAAGCTAATTTCCATTCCTCAGAACACCGCGACGGAAATGACCGCGACCGCAAACACCGCGGCGGGGACGACAGGGGTACTCGCGCGTTTCCAGTTAATTTTTGCAGGCAAGTAATTCATACTCCACAGAACACCGCGACGGAAACCACCGTGGCGACCGCGAACATCGTGGCGGGGGCGATAGGGGTGCGCGCGCGTTCCCAAAGCATTGTTGCAAAAAAGCTAATTCTGACTCCCCAGAGCACCGCGACGGAAATGATCGCGATCACGGCGAACACCGTGGCGAGGGACGTCATTCCAACTCCAGATACCGGGACGGAAACGGCCGCGACAACGAACACAATGGCCCATGCGATAGAGATGACTTTGGGCACGGCAAGTTCGACCATGGCCGGCAATACTGAACAGGTTCAAACACAATGATACATAATTTCCCTCATTTGAACTGATACTTAATCTCCTTCTTTTGAACTCTCCCAATATAGTATGTAATCGTCTGTAATTAATTGTTATAATGTGTTCATACATTGCCTGTCCGAAGCGCCCCTGGGTGATAAAACCCAGTCAGTATTGTTGAATCAACCACCTCACTCCCGTTATGCTCGAAGCTGCGATGTGTCTCTTATGGCTACCACTAGATCTAGGCTATAAACCATGACAGAAATCCCAGAAATAACTACATATAGTCGTTGCAGATCTCAGGATGAATGTGACTTATTCAGTCCTATTTCAACACCAACGCTGACTCGGTAGCGGATGATCCGCGTCTGCCCCACATTTGTAGTCGATAGTCTGCAGAAGTCGCTGTTCGAATCAGGCCCGAGTCATCGTCAAATTCCACTTTTTTTTTCTGTCCTGCTTTCTTACATCCCGCTCTCAGTCCTCATCGTGCACTGGCTTTGTTATCCGATTGGCGAGGGTAACCACCAAGTCGCCAGATTGTAGCGTAGTCTAAGATCCTCTGAGGAGCTGGTGAACAACCTCCGAGGTGTTCTTGTGTGATTTCGAACCGATTTATTCAACTCAAATTGAATCTCTTCGCCGACTTGGTGACGGATGTTCCGCGTCTGCTGCTCTTGCGGAAGTAGTAGTCCTGTTGTATTGCAGAAGGTGCCTGTCCGAATCAGGCCCGAGTCATACTGCAGTCCCACTGTCTTTTATTTCTTGCTTTCTTACAGCTCGCTCCTAAACGTGCGCTGATTTTCCACTCAATTAGAAAACGAATATTGTCCATGGCACCCGAGACAAGAGCTTGAGACTTCAAATTGATCATCCGTAAGTAGACGTCCCTATGCTCGTTATTGACATTGTGCTACATTTCAAACTCATTTATTCAACGCAGAGTCATACTAAAGACCGACTCGGTGGCGGATGGTCCGCGTCTGCGCCACATATCGAAATCCCATTCTGCATAAGGCAGAAGTCGCCTGTTCGATCCAGGCCCGAGTCATACGTTGTAGCGTTCCTGGGAGATTTTTGTTTATTGCTTTCCACAATCCTATGCTGCGCTGACTTTTTTTATCAAATTAGCTAGCGTAACAACTCATGGTAAGATCATGCATTTCTGAAGAACTAGAAATTGATCCTTCATCAGTAAACGTCTGTGCTCGCTTACGTTGTGCTCCATTTCAAACTGATTTATTCAACGCGCATTCAAGCTAAAGACGGACTCTGTGGAAGATGGTCCGCGTCTGCTTCAGATTAGCGTATTCTTATGGCACATATACTGTCCAATAATTGAAAAAAACAATGACTAGGGTGAAAATCAACGAAAACGACACAACTTTGAGGTAAGTGGGGATAAAAGACACAACTTCGCCAAAATGGTCTTTGAAAAAAACACTACATGCACATTGTGCGTAATATTAGACACAGTTAGTGTTCAGGCTCCAAAATGACACACCCGAAAAAGGCGACCAAAGAAAATGACACAACCTGGAATCGAGAAACGACACAGCCTGGAAATGGAACAGAAAAAGACACAACCCATTTGCCTAAAGATAGCTGTGGCGATGGTAAAAGAGCAAAACAACAGGCCGCTTGAAACAAACACCAACACATCCACTGCCTTCTTATTCGGTCCCCTTACTCGGCACTTCCACTACCCCTTTTCACTCTGTCCATTCATGTCGCCATTCCAGCCTCTCGGCCATTATCGTGTCCCCCTTTTTGTCGCCCCTCGTACCTGCCCCAGCCTTCCCTCCTGCCGTTGTTGTACATTCAAAGTTTCCGATATCCCAGCTCCGCTCGTACGCGCTCTTGTATCTACACATTACCGTCTTCTGCTACATTCCCGTATGACACCGTAGAAACCGTCATTCTAACATGAAAGTCCATAAGTCTGCCCAATTTCAATTTGCCATTTCATTCTCCAAAGTATAAGTTCAACTGGTGTGTTTCACCGTAAAATGGAGTGTCATTTTTGGCACAAACACAAGCTGCGTCGGAATTTTCGTCAAATGTGAAGGTGTGCTTATCTTTGTCACTCGAATTGAGGTGTGCCTTTTTTTATAGTTCCATTTGAGGTGTGGTTAATTTTCTCTCAGGTATGTTTTTTTTTGCCGGTTTTTGACTGAATTATTGGACAGTATATGGCCCATATATTCTCATGACAAAGTTGATGCAGAAGACGCCTGTTGTTTCAGGCCCGAGTCATGGATGTGACCCACGGCGATTTTTTAATTCTTACTTTCCTACAGCCTGCTCCCAGTCCGCATCGTGGGCTGACATTTTCTCCAATTAGAGAGGGCAACCACGAATCGCAACAGTACACATGCCCCCAGGAGATTGATAACTCAGCGATCGGATCCTCGGTAGACTTCCCAGTGCTCACTATTATGCTCGCTCTTCAAATTAATTTATTCAAACTAGATTGAGGCGAAAGAAAGACTCGGTGGCAGATGGTCTACGTCTGCCCCAAGAACTGGCGTGTTCGATTCAGGCCCGAGTCATGACTGTGTCCCATTGTAGTTTTTATTTCTTGCTTTCCTACACAACCGTGCCCTTGCTTTTTATCAAATTAGCGTGGGTATGGATGTACCAAGTCGTTAGTGTAGACTCGGTTGTCTCTGAGGAGCTGGTTAACTCGAAAGTTATCTATCCTCCCAAGGTGGACTCGGTATTCAAACTGATTTACTCCGCACAGATCCGTGCTCAAGAACGACTCGGTGGCGGATGTCCGCGTCTGCCCCACATGTTGAAATAGAAGTGTACATATGATGCAGAAGTCGTCTGTTCGAATCAGGCCCGAGTCATAATCATTGTTCCAAGTAGTATTTTTATTTCTTGCTTTCATACAGCGCGCGCCTTCCACGCTGACGTTTCCGGCTGGTAGGGCAAATACGAATTCGCAGATCATCCATCCGCAGAGGATCTAGCTGGTGTAAAGTCATTAACAATAATCCAAAGCAAAATTGTACTCCGTCTCAATGTTATCTATTGCACGCAGATTCACCCTCTACAACGACTCCATAGTGCGCTGAACTTTCGAAAAGGTAACTAGTATTCAGAATCGCAAGATTATACATGCCCCTCAAGAGCTCGATCCTCCGTAGACTTGTGCTCGCTACTGTATTATGCTCCATTTTCAAACTAATTTATTCACCGCAGATTTAGTCTCTTCACCGACTCGGTGACGGATGGCCCGCCTCTGCTCTATATTTACAAGTACTGCAAAAATACTTAGATGCAGAAGGCGCCGGTTCGATTCCGGCCCAAGTCATTCGAAGTCATTGATATTTTTATTGCTTGCGCGCCCACAATCCATTCCTCCTACGTACGGCGTTAGCCACTAATCCGCGAATCTGCCTGGCTAACTCAAATGGTCATCCTCCCAGCTGTATTGTGCTCGTTTACACAGCACAGCTCAAACGCCAAGACCCCACAGTGGATAAACAACGCGAAGCCACAGCCCGGTCCGCACCGACTTTAGTCCACTCCGTATCGCGGACAGATTTTTGCCCGCAGCGCGAGTGGGGGAGGGAGCCTAGGCGGCGACCTTGTCGGGGGCGGGGGCCTTGGCGGGACGCGGCGGGGCCGTGGGGCAGTTTTTCAGGATGTGGCTCTACGAGAGAAGAACAAAAGGGAATGAGCGGGCGTCGGGATATGCTATATGGGTTGTATATAGCGAAGGGTAGGGAGAGACGCACCGTGGACCCGCACGAGAAGCACTTCGGAGGCTGCTTGCACTCCTTGAGGATGTGGCCTGGCTCGCCGCAGCGGAAGCTGCATAAGGGACGAGAAAAGGAGGGGAGAGGGGAGAAGTGAGTGAGGACGATGCGGGAAGGGGAAGGGGAAGGGATGAGGCGGACGCACCACTTGCGGGGCGCGGTCTGGAGCGCCTCGATGCGCGCAGGGTCGGGGGAAGGGCAGTCGCGGCGCTGCGGGTGCACAGAGATTCGTTAGTGGCGTCTATGGTGTATATATTTATGATGGCTCGCAGCGCGCACCTCGTGTCCTTCGACCCCGCAAGCGATGCAAACCGTCGGCTCCTTGCAGTCACTGCGAAGGTGGCCCTCGCGCCGGCCTGTATCCATACTCAGTGAGTACGGGGTACACCTTTTCAGTATGGAGGGCACGCACAGTTCGGGCTGTGGAAAGCAATGTAAGCGAGAGAACGGAAGGGACGTCGGGGGAGACGGACCAGACCATGTAGCCGAGACCGCCCTTGGCCTTGGGCTTAGCAGAGGTCGCGGCGGGGGCAGTGGAATAGAAGGCAGGCAGGGAGGTGCGTAGGGAGGCGGAGAGGAGCCCGGGGGTGCGGGGGACGAGGCGCAGGACGGGAAGGGCGCGGTGACGGAGGAGCGAGAGCATCGTGGTGGTGGTAGTGAAAAAAGAGGGTCACATCACAGTCACGAAGACACGATCACGTGTGCTGCGCTGTTTCGCGTCGAGTCACGAGGGACGACGCAGGGAGTGGAGTAAGCGCGTCTTTGGATATCTTGTTGCCGCAGATATGCACTCGAGTGAGAGTGGAAGTTGCCTTTTTATTCTTTCATTGATGTTTGTCCGAGTTGAAGCTTGAAGTCGATCCTCCCCAGATGTCCGCCCCAAAAATCATGCTCCATTTACAATCTAATTTATTCACTGCAGTTTGAGCGCACCAAAACGACTCGGTGGCGAATGATCCGCGTCTGCTCTCAATTCCGCAGAACTTCGAATAGATTGCAGCAGAAGACGCCCGTTCGATTCGGGCCCGAGTCATCGCAATCTGTGTCTCGTGCAATTTTTCTTTTTCTTCCCAGAGCTGTCCTGGTACGTACCCCCTATTGTGCCCCGTCTGTATTTGATTTATCCAGAGCAGAATCACACCTAATACCGACTCGGTGGCGGACGGTCCGTGTCTGCGATCAGTAACATGTGGCCGTTTTCGATGTCAACAGAAGGCGCCTGTTCGACTCAGGCCCGAGTCATGATGATGAGGTATCATCCGTGCATTTTTATTTCTCTCTCTCCACTTACGCTCAGCATCGCGCACTGAACTTTGACACTCATCCGCAAGATTACCACTTCCCATGGCCTTGTACTCACATTTCGTACTCCGTTTTAAACCAGTGATTTAATCAGTGCCGTTTAAACCCGACAACGACTCGGTGGCGGATGGTCCGACTCTGCGCCACATCCAAATATTTATATCCAATATGCAGGACACGCCTGTTCGATTCAGGCCCGAGTCATAAGCGAGTTTGCAATTTTTTATTTCTTGCGCTTCCACGGGCCACTCCTCATAACACTGGCCTTTGTTATATCATTCGAAGTCAAATCTGCATGTCCCTATAGATGAGATGTCACTATTTCCATCTGATTTGTCTGGTGCAGATTCAGCCTATCCATCGACTCGGTGGCGGATGGTTCGCGTCTGCGTTGCATTGGCAAGCATATATATCATTATGCAGAAGTCGCGTGTTCGATTCACGCCCAAGTCGCTTTGACTGGAATACACCCTTCTTTTTGGGCTTGTTCCTCATCTTATTCTACTTACATACCGGGCCCGCTCATCGACATTCGACACAATACAGAGCCAGTCTAATTTATTCAGTCCACATTCACCCTGCCAGTGAGTATCGACTCGGTGGCAGATGGTCCTCATCTGCTGACGTGCGACTTTACCATGATGTAGAAACGCCTGTTTGATCCAGGCCCGAGTCGTGCTTCAGAATGTCCGGCGGCAGTTTTATGTCCGGTGCTTGGACTGTCTTCTCATTGTCGTGCACTTTCTTTTTTTCCATCCTGTTATGTCGTGCACAGTCATCCGCAAATTCGGAACATTATCCAAACCCCCAGGACTGGGGAACTGAGCGCTGAGCCTCCGTGCATGTCCAGGTACCCTCAAAATTGGGCACCATTTTAACGTATTTTATTCAGTGCATATCCCCCCTCAATATATACTCGGTTGCGGATGGTCCACGTCTGCTCTCAATACGTTGTAACTGTTGACCGTATATGCAGAAGACGTTCGATTCAGGCTGAGTGCGCGTAGTCTTATTTTTATCTCTTGCGGTCGTGGTACTACCCCGCTATCGTTCCCCATCTCGACTTTGATTTATTCAGTGCAGAATTGAAGTGAACACCGACTTGGTGGATGGTCCGCATCTGCAATCCATGCCTTGTACATGTCCCTCTAGTTTCGGTAAAAGTCGCCTGTGCGAAATTCATAATTATGAGGTGCCAACCTTGCATTTTTTTCCTCTCTCCGCTTCCGCTCCACATCGCGCTCTGACCCTGTGGCCACACCCCAATCGCACCTCATCCGAAAGAATACCGCATGCACATCGTCCGGAAACCAAGGTGCCTTGTAATTAAATTTTCTACTCCGTTTCAAACTGATTAATTCACTGCAGAATTGAAGCTAACAGCGACTCGGTGGCGGACGGTCCGCGTCTGCAAGTAATTTATTGTATTCTTCAAGTTTCAGCAGAAGTCGCCTGTTCGACTCAGGCCCGAGCAATGCAGCTGACATGGTTTCAATGCTTTTTGCATCCCCTGATCCATTCGAATTCCTCCTACCACGTTCACGCTCGAGGGTCGTCGAAGATACAGATGTGAAATGACGTCCCTCACAGATTCAGTCTTCCTCCTCTGAATGACACCACTCAACGTGATTTATACATCGCAGATTCTTTCTCGTATCGACTCGGTGGCGGATGGTCCGCATCTGCATGACGTGAGATTCATCATGAAATGGTGCAGAAGACGCCTGTTCGATTCAGGCACGAGTAATACAGCGTGTTGGTCGGTATTTTTATTTCTTGTCCTTTGCTCATCATCGTACACTGCTTTTACTTTTCTATACTGCTTTTACTTTTTTATAGCCCCGCCTGTAGTGCAGTCTCCCACAAATTAAGGCCCCAGGAACTGATTACCTGATTCTCCGTAGATTTGCTTGTCCCCCTTCAAATGGTGCCCCACTTCAATGTAGTGCAGGTGACCATGTAACGAGCACAATATTAATACAGCTGGGAGGATCAATTGTCAGGTTAACCGACTGTCTTGCGGATGTACGAGCTCGTGGATTCGCGGATCAGTGGCTAACTTCTGGAAGCCAACGCCATAGTTGGACGCATAAGAAATAAAAACTGAATCGACTTTGACCATGACTCGGGCTGGAATCGAACCGGCGTCTTCTGCTTCAACATGTTTGGAGTTTCCCCGAGTCGAAAGCAGACGCGAGCCACTGGCCACCGAGTTGTGGATTCAAACTGTAGTGATTGAACTACAGCGGATTGAAGATGAAGCACGGTTTTTGAGGACGACATCTGGGGAGGAACGTCTTTTTCTCCAAGTAGCAAGGATAACAACCATGAATCTACGTGCGCCGCATGAGTGGTTGCTTGGAAGTTAATCCTACATACACTCAAAAGTGCGTTCCATCAATCTGATTTACTCAGTGCCATTCACGTTCAATATCGACTCGGTGGCGAACGGTCCGCATCTGCTGCTTCTGTTATGCGGAGATGCCCTTAACGCAGAAGACGCCCATTCGAATCGGGCCCGAGTCATGATTGAATTTCTGACGTCGTTTTTACTTCTTGCACTTCCACAGTCCGCTCTTCATTTACCCCAATCCCTCATCTCGCATTGACGTGCACGCCTCACCGAAAATCACATAAAATAGTTTGCTGTTCCACTAGAGTCTCAGCGCGAAGGGGTTCAATATTTCTGGAGTGGAAGCTGGAAAACCTTGGAAGTTGACACATTGGGTGGAGCCGCGACATGCAGCAGAATCTGCACCGAGAAACGCAAGGGACGGCGCGCAGCGGAGATATTCATTTATGAGATCCACAGAATTTATTTGGGATTTCGCGGGCGGGGGATTCGTTGATGTGATGTTCGCAGAGCGCAGAAGGTGCGTCGGTCTTCAGTTAATCAACTGTGGACGAGATCCATTGTTGTGGTCATACTAGATAGATCGACATGAAAGCCCACACAGGGATAGGAAAAGCCCGCGTGAAGACCTAGGGGAGGAAATACAGGATAACCCAGGGTCGCAGGAGGACGTTGGATATCACAGGCTCCCTCGAGGCGGAAATGATCCAGAGAGTCTAGAGTCAAGACAAAAGCGGAAGGAGCGGGGCCGGCAGCCTTGGCGGGGCGCGGCGGGGCTGTGGGGCAGTCATTCAGCATGTAACCCTGTGAGTTAGCAGGCGCACAAGGAGGAGAAGGGGAAGGAGTGGGAAAATAGCAGGAGGAGAGAATAAGACGTAGACGCACCGGCTGCCCGCAGAGGTAGCACTTCTTTGATTGGGGACATTTTTTGAGGAAGTGGCTCTCCGAGCCACAGCGGTAGCTGTATGAAAAGAGGAGCAACGAGGCAACGAGGCAACGAAAGTGAGCGACGGAGGCAAGAATGCGAAGCGGGGAGAATGGGACGCACCACTTGCGGGGCGCGGTTTTGAGCCCCTCGACGCGTGCGGGGTCGGGGTCGGGGCAGTCATGGGGCAGTCATGGGGTGATTTGGTTCGAAGGGAACGAGTGGATGGCGGGGAAACGCACTCTGTGCCCCACGACACTGCAGGCCACGCAGGGCTTCTTGCAGTACCTGCCGGTATGGCCCTCACGGCGGCCTGCATCCGACGGACCTGGTCAATGCGAGGAAGTAACATCGTCGCGGGACGTACAATTTACGCTGGAAATGAGGGGGTCAACGTCGAGCGAACGGAAGAAAGATTGATAGTCGACAGAAAGAGACGCCACGGACCAGACAATGCCATGCTCAGTGAGCCTGGGGCGAGTGGTAGAGATGGCCCGGAGGGAGGTACGCGGGGAGGAGATTATTCTCGGGGCCCCGAGAGGCGCACGAGGGGCGAGGGGGCGAGGGCCCGAGCGAGGGCATCGTGATGGTGGGAGTGAAAAGAGAGGGTCACGTCACAGTCACGACCGAACAACGATCATGTGTCCTCACGTTTATTCGCGTCTCGACTCTCCTTGGAATGCTGGTACCTGCATTATATGCAGAAGTCGCCTGTTTGACTTAGGACGGAGTCATGTCCGGACATTTCAATCTTTTTCTATCCAATGATCCATCCTCCTCCTAATTCCTGCTCCCACCTTCACGCTGGAAGGTCGGCGAAGATACAGCTGCCAAATGACTATTGCACATCGACAATTCCTCGCACAGATTCAGTCTCACTTCCCCAACCCACACCGAGTCAGTCTAATTCATTCAATGCAGCTCACCCAACACCGACTCGGTGGAGGATGGTCCGTGTCTCGAATCAGCCGCTGCAACAACATAATGCACAAGTCGCCTGTTCGATCCAGGCCCGAGTCATGATCGTGGAACAATATTTTTATTTCTTACGTTTGAACTGTCCACTCATGATGGTGCAGCGTTTTTTTGTTGTTGTTATGCAGTGTACAGTCCCCCACAGATTCGGAAGATTATGCATGGTCAAGGACCGTACCCTCAAAATTGCGCTCCATTTAATCTATCTTATTCACTGCACGTTCACCCGCAATATCGACTGGGTGGCGGATTCAGATGGTCGGCATCTGCTGCGACTCGAGGAAAACCTCTCTATCTATGTACATAGAGAAGAAGCCTGTTCGACTTAGGCCCGGCCCGGGGTCATGATCTGCCATGCATGCATTTTTTTCTCTCTTCGCCCTCAGCGTCGACTCGGTGGCGGATGGTCCGTCTGCGCCACTTCCAAGTGTTTATTTTCAATATTCCGGAAAGGTTATGATGTACCTGGTTTTTTTCTCTGCTCTACCTCCCAAAACCAAGGTTGCTTTCCCATGGCCTGGTAGTCAGTTGTTGCACTCCGTTTCAAGCTGTTTCATGAGTGAAGAATTGAAGCTTACACTTAGACCGACTCGGTGGCGGACGGTCCATGTCTGCTGGCCATAACCGGCCAATCTTATACATGCAGAAGTCGCGAGTCACGATGGGGTGTTCGCGTAAGTTTTGGTTCTTGTGCTTGGATTGTCCGCTCATTATCGCGCATCGTTTGTCTTTTGTGCTCCGAGTATGTGCACACCCCCACACAAATTCTTGTCCCAGGCAGCCAAGGATGTCCAGATCAATATCGTAGTCATCCACGAGGTCGAAGTTGATCCCCTCTAGATGACCTTCTCCTCAAACCCACGCCCCATTTGAATCTAATTTATTGCGTGCAGTTTGAATCCCACAACGACTCGGTGGCGGATGGCCCGCATCTGCTGCTTCTAGCTCTATCACAGCTACGTAATCAGAAGGCGTCTGTTCGAATCAGGCCCGAGCCTTTAACGACATCTGGGTATTTTTATTTCTTGTTTCCACACTGGCAGCTCTTCATCGTGCACTGGCTTGTCTTCCTGAGTTAATAAAGGCTAGCCACCTAATGCGCAAGACTGCGTGGCTCGCGGGGATAGTCAACTCGAAAATTTTCCTCCCTAAATTTCCTGGTACTCGAAATTGCACCATTTCAATCCCAGCTTCAACCCA